AAGTTGGGGATTTTCTTCACCTTTATTTGTTTATATTTTTAAAAACTTTTTTTATTAGAAAAGCATAACCAAATATAGTATACATAAGGATAGATTCAATGAGAAAGAAATAGTAAAAAAAAAAAAACCTATGTCCCCACTTAATATGATATAAAAGACAACTAGCCAACAAAATCTGCGCCTAGTAACTTATGAACTTTATCTTGAATAACTTCTCCACCAGTTTCAACCCAGCGCAAAAGTAAAGAACTAGTTCCAATGCTGAGGAAGTTTCATGGCCATCCATCAAGCAATCTACAAGGACCTTGGTGTCAGTTTTGATTCGGATCTAACTAACGGAGATCATATAACCAGTGTTCAAAAGAATGAATTGCGCCGACTAGTCAGTCCTGGCCCGATCTGATTAGTCAGATCGATTATGATTAAATCAGCAGATTAGTGTCCCGATTTTTACTGAAAAATGTAATTTGGGTAAAAAATCCCAAAAAAAATGTAAAAAATAATTAAAATCTACATGTATTCGTTTTTTACATTGTCACATAAAATAAGTAAACCAAACAAATATTATAGGCATAATTGGATTTCAGAAAAAAATTTCTACTACATGGCTAATAATAGTTTCTTAGCCATATCAACGTAGAAATCGAGCTTCGGCTTTATTAGTTAGCAATTGCCATTTAGCATTGCTATATCTCAAGTTTTATACCTACCATTGAACTACCCAAGAAAAAAGAAAATGGATTGACCTATTTAGTCATCTATAAAAAAATGTAGGACAACTTCAAAGCAAGGGTCGCACTGTGGTCGCGTGCCAGTAGAAATTCAATCCCGAATGAAGATACCAACAATTGAATTGATAAAATAAATCTAATAAGTTGATTGACACAAACTATTTGTATGCAAGACTATCAATCTTTGATATAAGAATATTATCATCCGTAGTTGTTAGACGATAAATTGGTAGGCTAAGGGCATATTGCAATGTTAAAAAAAAAATTTATTTGACTTTGAATTTAGTTAAAGGTAGAGAAAGTTACTAAAAACCCCCAAGACTGCACTCTATGCAACTTACCCAACCTAATTTTTTCTCTCACTTTTTTTCCACAAAATACACTTTCTATGTAAATACTCCCAACCAAAAAAAAAAGAGTTTAAACTGCACTCCCTTACTTTTATCTTACCCTCGCCTCTCTCTCCTCTATCCCACTAAAATAGAGGCTCTGACACTATGCAAGTGTGGTCCGGTAGTGACGCTTCGGCACTGTGTAAAGTGCAGTCTGGCAGTAGGGCTCCGGCACTGTGTGAAGTTCGGTCCGCCAATAGGGCTCTGGCACTGCGTAAATTGTGGTCTGGCAATTGAAAATGACAGTATGATAGTTGCAAAGGGCGGTCCGACAATAGATGTTACTAGATTCCAAGGTTCCAGCACTATATAAAGGGTAGTACAACAATAATTAGTTTTGGTCTGGTAGTTGTTTTAGGGCTGTCCGGCATTTGTGCGCTCCGGCAATGTGCTACTGGGGTCCAAAAATCAACGTCAAATCTGACCAAAATGATATTTGTGTACGGGAAGGGCATTTCCATCTAAAAAAATGAATTTTTTCCTTGGGGGGTATTTGCATAGAAAGTTTGTTTTGGGGAAAAAAGTGAGAGAAATATGTTGGTTGCGGGTAAGTTGCATAAAAAGTGTGGTCTTGGGTTTTTTTTGTAATTTTTCCTTAAAGGTATGCCTCCTAGTCATCCAATTTTGCATCTCCTGGCTATGGGTAATTGTGATTATACTGTACAAAAAGTATATACTTTTATTATATACTTAAATAAAAAAAGAAGTTTATATAAGGGTGAGGCCTTAAACAATCAAATTAAGGCACACCTAAAAAATTTACTAGAAAATGTTGTTTTGATGCTAAAAAATTCTCAAACCACTCATCTCGACCTCAAGATATATAAACATGAGAAAAACTGGATTTCTTATATCGAAAATAGTGCATCATGCAATGCATTTTATGGACTGTTAATTTTCAAGATTTTTAAGTATTCCTAGATCTACTCAATCTACATTATTTTTCAAGCTTTAAAGTTTATAATTATATATAAAATATTTTTTTAGGCCATTACAAAGATTTCTAGTACTGGAACAATGTCTTTTTATACTATTTGAAGGTGCCCTTATTTTGATTGTTTGGGGCCTCAGCCTTATACAAACCACACCCCTTATAAAAGAAAAAGTTTATTTAAAGGAGAGGCCCTTAATAATTAAATTAAGGTACTCCTAAAAAATCCAATAGAAAAGGTTATTTCAATGCCCAAAAATCCTCAAATCAATAATCTCAAACTCAAGATGTATGGTCATGAGAAAAATAGATTCCAAGTCTTGAATATTGTCCATATGTAGTTTTAGACCCTCAATTTTCAAGATTTTTCAAGTGTTCATAGATTTTTCATAGTAACAGTGTACAAATCGGGCGATCTTTACAACAAATTATCGATTAGTACAATAAATCGGCCGTTTATTGCAATGCATAAAAATTTCAAAATACATAACCTTTGAAATTGGGCCAACTCGAGAGTGACCTGTGACTGATCCCAATTTAGTTTGGCGTTTATCTTTTGATCACTGCATATAACAATTCATGGAATTCATCTTTAAAACTCCAAACAACTATAAAAAGCCTTTAAGCACATGTTTTTGTCATCTCTAATCAATCACCATAAGTAGATAAGACCCTATAATATCTTTTTAATATTTCATTTTTGATATTTTTTAGCTTTTTTTCCTTACTAATTTCCATCTTCTATTTTATTTTCTATTAGTTCCCTAGCTTTTGAATTAAATTATTTCTTTAAAAGGATATGATTTACTCTTTCCCTAACTTTAATAAAAGGATAGATATCCCATATAATACAAATTATAAGTTTTAGTGAAAATGTGAATTTCTAAATGAGAACTAGTTGAATTAATAGTTCGCATGACAGGTCTTCATTTACCAGCAGATTTTTTACAAAAGCCAGAAATAAACATAGTTAAGGAACACTTTTTATGAATATTTACATGCTATATCATATATTCATATTGCACACAAATTACTTTTACTAATGAGAAATGTCTGCATGGAAAGGTTTCATATTGGTATTGGTATAATTAAGGCTCAAAAAATTATATTACACACTTTATGCATTTATTTAAGGGAAAGTATACAACAATAGTTTTTTCCTTTGATAGAAAATGTTACTGTCGCCTTTAGATGTGAAATTGGACAATTTGGGGTGAACTTAAGGTCATCTGGAACATGAAAATTGGAATTATAATCAATTGTGGAATATAGAAAGTGGGATTTTGAATACCTAGTAACGAAATTTGGAGATTCTTTAAAATTATATGCGGATTAACATGAAATTTTGTTGAAATCATTAGTCGGTTCCAATCATTAATTGAAGTTTTTATTGACAAAAGGGTGGTGTTTGCTAAACGAATGATATTTGAAAATCATAGCTCATCTGCAGTAGGTTTAACAAAATACATGGATTCTGTCGATCTCAACCTTCTAATATTTATTGGACGGTTAGGAACAGGTATGAGTATTTTTATTTTATTTTATCATATATGGTTAAAATTATCGGCGGTTATACTTCTCACCCCAACACACCTATAATAATTACAAAAAATGTTCTAAACATAAAATGAGTGAAAAAAACCCTTAAAATTGAATCGGTATTTTTTGTTATTTTATTTTATTTGAATTATTTTTTTATATATTGTACAGGTGCACCCCTGAGGAGTACCTTCAAATTTCATATAAACCTGGTTAAGGAAAAAGGTTATATAAGGTTGACACCTTAAAATGTAGAATTAAAGTGTACCTCTGAAATCATTAAAAAAATGTTGTTTTGATGTTAGAAAACATCTAATTGATCATCTCTACATTGAGATGTATATATATAGAGAAAAAAAAAGAGATTAAAATCCTAAAAAGAATTCATCTTGCAACACACTATTTGGTTTGTCTATTTTCAAGATTTTAATGTGTTTATAGATCTATTTAATTTAAATTATTTTTGAAGTTTAAAATTTTATAATTGTACTTACAAATAGATTCTGGCACTATCGTATGAATTTTCGACATCAAAATTGCATCTCATTACAAAGTTTGAATATGCACATTAATTTGATTGTCTAAGGTTATAACCTTATGTAAACCACCAAAAAAAAAGAAAAAAAAGAGAAGCCCTTTAGTTATAATGTAGTTCCTATTCTCTCGTCATCACCATCCACACCATTATCGCATGGTCATGACTCTGAAGACCACTAATTGCATTTGGTCACAAGGACTATCATAGAGTTCCCCTTCATGAAATTGCTAGACTCGACCCTTCATCACTTTCCAAAACTTTATCCAATCCCAAATCAAATCCAACCACAAAAAATGAATAATAAAGAGCAAGTATACCATTCTCACTCGGGAGCATGGTTCATTCTACTCCCTTAGTCAAAAGGTTTATTTAGGAAGACATTTTTCAATATAAAAATTTGGAACTAATTAAGAATTTGTGGATGATTATTTTTAAAAAAATAGAAATTTTGAGTTTTTTTAACCCCTGTATCTCACGCTCTAATAAGTGGATGGTCTCTATTTAATCTCGAAACATTATTTTTTCAAGTATATAGAGCTCACAATTAGGAAATTATTTTTATTAATATTAATCTATGAAGATGTGACATCCCCAAAATTTGGGCTCCTACAATTGATTCTAGATGGGTCTTACCCGAGGTAGTTAATGTACATTCTACTCCCGCGGGAGAAGAATGTTTTTGGATAATAGAATAAAAAATATTTGTTCGCACGTGGAGCTAATAACTAATAAACATGCCAGTATTAACGCGAGTATTTTTTGCTACGTGCGAGGTTAAAGTCGTGTACGTAAAGGCTAAAAGCCGTCGCCGACCAATAATGGTGACGTCTCTGCAAGCACAAACACCCTTTAAAATCCCGTTTCCCCTTTTTCTCTCTAAAGTCTAAACAATTGAAGAAAGGGAGAGAAGGGAAAAAAAAGCCCTAATTCTCACTCTACTCCATTATTCTTCCCCATAATCACTCCTCAATTCTCCTCGAGTATTTCTATTCCAGGGCTTCTGTTTCATGTTTGTTTAGCAACTGTTCTTTTCGTGGCTCTTTCGTGGTTTTTTTTGGGCGAAAGGTGCCTGGAATTTGCAGATCTAGGGTTTTTTTTTTTTCACAGTTCGTTGCCCTATATTTTCTGTAAATTATGAAGGGTTTCCGTGATAACAACAAGGTTCCATTTGAGCAGAGTCCGGAGAGGGTGGACGAAGGGGAAAAGGAGAAGAAGAAAGGTAGGAGAAGGGCTAATCGAAAGCAAAGGCAGAACCATGGAGGATCTGGTTGTAGTTCAGGTGCTTTGTGCTTGTCAAGTTTTGGTCCTTTCCATTTGTTGTAGTAAATTTACTTTTTTGTGGGTTTTGTTTGAGTGATTCCTCTATGGCCGTGGAATTGATGATTATGGTGTAGTGTTCAATATGCTTCTGAGTAAATATGCTGTTTCTTTGGAGTAAGGCTGCGTAAATTTAGCATGATTTTGAATGAAAATTATGGCAAAACATTTATTTATCATATTTGTGGTTTTACCAATGAAGCCATGGGTTCTATCAGTTTGTTTATTATTCTACTTCTTGTGGGTGCTTTATTCTTCACGAGTCATGCCATTTCTTGTTTCCTCAAGGCTTAAATCAATCTTTTCATACTGACTTGTTTTCTGTGAAATGGAGCATAATCTGATGTCAGTTCAGGAGTGATACTTTGACCTTGCTGGGCCTTGTTAATTATTTTCTCTAAATCTTATTTTAACAAAGATGAAGGAAAAGTTTGTTATTCTATCTTCCATCATTAACTCTTTTAAAGAAACCTATTTCACATTCTATCTTCCATCATTACCTCTTAAAAAGAAACCTGTTGTGAAATATTAGTTGGTTATCTTCTATCTTTTTGAGCAAATTGTGTCTTGAAAAGTATAATAGATTGAGGATGTAGCCTCTATAGAAATTTGGGGGAAATTTGTCAACAATTATAATCATCAACCGTATTATTGATTTTAGAAAAGTAAAACTAGTACCATATTTTATTCTCGAGGACCCACTTTCTAGTACTGTTATTATTATTCTTCCAACTGGATTGGATCTGCCAGTTAGTCTCTGTTTGGGTGTTGCTGGACGCTTTCCTTCTTGCCTTCCCTGTGACTGAAAGGTAGGTTTTATGAACTCCGTACAAATCATTAGCTGGATTATCCAACTTAATAGATGATTTTGCTAATTTATATTGGGTTAGCATGGATGTTTAATATCTCATAGTGACAAATAGATGTTGTAAGAACTAGTGGATTTGGCTTGTTTGTATTCGGTGTTTTGGATTGGCCACTTGTTTTGGATTGCCCGCTTGTACTTTTTCTAATTATAAGAGTGACTTCTATATCTATAATTGTTATTGTTTACTGACTTTTTAAAATGATCTATTCACATGCCCATGCACTTGAGATATTTCATTGTTCTATGTGTAGATGGGTGTTTCCTTATTTTCGTGGACCAAAATAAAACTGTTTCCTTGCAGGCTCGTGTCTGGTTGAAGGCTATGGGCAGATATCAAACTGTTGTGATGCCTCTAATTATGCACAAGATACCATGAAGTCGTCCTCTTTACCTTATCAAAATTGTGTTGGGGGAAATGGCATGGTGTCAAATGACAATACCGGTTCAGAGTTTGGCCAACGAGAGTTTTCTCCAAAAATAATTTCATATCAGAGATCAAATAGGGCATCTGACATTTCGTTTACATCTCTACCCACAATGCACATACACAGTGGCGATGCATCAAATCTGAATTTGGGGTACTCACAAGATCAAGATATATTTTCATGTAATCTTGTTGGGGAAGTGTTTGCCGATATCTCAAAATCATGTCCAGATCCCATCACCAATGAGCATGTAACTGTTCTCTCTCCAAATAGAGAACTCATGCTTTACCAAAATAACGAAGGATATCATGATATGACCCAAAGAAAGTTCTCAGCTCACTGGTCTATCCAGTCTGTTAACGAGGCATTAGAGGTGTGCTTAAGAAATGTATTTCCTGGTTAACATGCATTCTATTACCTTCTTCAGTTGATTATAAGATGTCTGTTTCTCATTTTGCAGAAAGGCGATGCTTTCAAGGCATGCTTTCGTGTAAATGCGCATAACCGACTAGAGGTGTAGCTCTCATTTTCTTATCTGCCACAGAAATGCACAAAAAATCTTGTAGTTTTATGGTCTTGGAAGACTAACTCTCGAGTGTTTTCCTCTGCATTTTCAGGCTTATTGTACATTAGATGGAGTACCTACAGACGTTCTTATTAGCGGTTTTGCCGCTCAAAATAGAGCGGTATGGTCAAACATTTTTTTTGCCTGTTCATCTGGACTCTAAAATAGGTTCACATGTACAATGTTTTGATTCTATACGTGATATCATTACATCTATTGTTTTGCTGCACTGTATTCCTTTTAATATGTTGGGTGCAATATGTTAAATATGTTAATTTGAGTTCTGTAACATGGACACTGCTACAACTTTTATAGGATGGTATTTTTCTTTGGGGAAAGGTTTCTATACTTCCCTACAGCATAGAAGATCTATGCTTCCCCTACCATCCAGCTCTCCAATTTTGATCAAGAGAGCCACTCACCGTTTGATCTTAGATCTGACGTCTCAAAGTATTTTATTTTTAGTTTTTTTTATACAAATTGTATGAATATGAAATTTTGTACGTCCCCATCTTCTCATTGGGGCGCGCCTATAGAAAAGTTTTAAAAAATAAATTTTCAATAAAATATGACCAAAATAACCCTTGAAACTTTCAGGGGTATTTTGGTCATTTTATTTTATTGGAAATATTTTTTTAATATTTTTCGTTAGTGCGAGTTTAATAGAGGATTGGACGTCCAAAATTTGGTGTCAAAATAGTTTATATAAAAAAAATTAAAAATAAAATAGTGTCGAGACGTGACATTGTGATTGGGGGAATCTTAGCTCTCCATTCAGAATGGACGGTTGGATAAAGGAAAGTATATAAGTTTATGCTGTAGGGGAAGCATAGAAAGCTTGCCTTTGTCTTTGTTTGAGACTGGAAACTTAGAGGCAGTGGATTTTTATGTGGATTCTGACATTGCACTGAAATATGAACAACCTTTCTGACATATTGCATCCAACAATCACATCACATTTTCTGATTTGAAATTTGTTTGTCTGGAGCCCAATAACATCACGTAATTAGTTTTGTCTAGAGCCCAGTGAATCATGGGTTCCCATTAATACTTTCTTAGTATCTTGAAACACACATAAATATCAGTAAGAGTTCTTTATTTCTGAGTCCTTTAGAAGATGGCTAAGGGATCACTACCAAAATAAAAATGAGATATGCCAATGCTCTAATGTCCTGTTTAAAAAGATGATGCACTTCATCATGTGGCAATCTTGTATAAGAGTTCCCTGATTTTTGGCATCACTCGAAATGCTTCAAAAAGGTTCAGAGGTTCAGGAAGTGGTTCTGTACCCTTCTTATTTGGGTTCATGCAAAATAAGGTCTACAGTCTTAGTTGCCCTCCTGCCCATGAATCAAATATATGCGGTTTGGATCTTGGGACTTGGAAATGATCTGCTAGTGACTCAATGGGCATCTTCATTACTGTGGCCAACCCTCAAATGGTGATGATACAAGATGCTATTAGATCTTCACTGTTGTACCATCTCCGAGTTGGTTTTGGGTGTATCTACTCATTACAGAAAAGTAAATCTACATATTCTGCAAGTCGTAATTTATGTGGTACAATGGTATTCTGAAATTGATATCTATTTATATAGGGAAACATGCCTACATGCATATGTTTATATAGCATGCAGCAGGTTATGTGCTTGTATTTGTATTTATCTGTGTTTGTATTCATATATGTAAATATCTGTCCATGGCATATGCATACACTATTTTAGGACATGTGAAAATAACTTGAACAAATTGGTGTAATATATCAAGTAACAAACAAAGGGCACCTATTTTGTTCTGACCATTGTCTTCCTTCCAACCAGTGTAGCATATCTTTTATGTTGCTGCGAAGAATTATATTGTTTTTTCCATGAGGTGAGAACATTGGAATATTGACACTATTACTTTTCAACAGATTGAAGGTGATACTGTAGCAGTTATGTTGGACCCTGTGCCATGTTGGACCAGAATGAAGGGACTGCCTACTCATATATACAATTCTCCTCAGAATGATGACTGTTCTCCGCTCAAAGAATCAGTTGGAGTGAGTTCCAAAGGAAAAGAAAAGGTTAATGATGGCTATGAGTTTCCTGATTATGGAAATGGTAGCTTTCCTTTTGACAAGTGTTGTGAACTTGATGAAAAAACTAGCAGGTGTGAAACTGGAAATGGATTTGAATTTGGTAATTTTGGTTACCTTATGGATACTGTCAAAACAACTCGTACAAATGAGGAGCCGAAGAATGCTGCAAGTGCACTAGAAAATCTTTGTACCATCTTGAAGTTGTTTCCAATGAAAAGGCCAACTGGTAGAGTTATAGCGATCATTGAAAGATCTACTCGACGTGATGCCATAATTGGTTATCTTGGTAGTCAGCATTGGATTTCTTTCAAGGACCTTACCATGAAGGAGCAGTCCATAGGCAATCAATTTAAGAGAAACCAGACCCTCACTTCATCTCCTGGAGAATATGTCCAATTGACCCCAACTGATGCAAGATTTCCCAAACTTATGGTCCCTTTGAGCGGATTACCGGATAGCTTGAAAGAAAGGTTGCAAAATGGTGATGAATTTGTTGAAAAGGAATTGGTGGTTGCCCAAATTGTTAACTGGCAGGAACAAAGCCTTCTACCTCTGGCTCGCGTTAAGCAATGCTTGGGACAAGGTGGAGAAATTGAAGCAGAGATTGCTGCGATTTTATTTGAGCGTGCAATTCAAAGTGCTGAATTTTCCCCCGAGTCACTTGCCTGTCTCCCCAAAATTCCTTGGAAAATACCTGCGAAAGAGATAAAAAGAAGAAAAGATTTGAGGGACCTTTGCATTTTCACCATTGATCCTTCTACTGCAACTGATCTTGACGATGCCCTATCATTTGAATATTTGTCTGAGGACGTTGTTAGATTCGGAGTTCACATTTCTGATGTCTCATACTTTGTTCATCCAGACACAGCGCTAGATATGGAAGCCCAAGTTCGTTCCACCAGTGTCTATCTTATTCAACATAGAATCCCCATGTTGCCTCCTTTACTTTCAGAGGACTTGGGATCCCTTGTTCCTGGGGTTGATAAGCTTGCCTTTTCAATTATATGGGACATAAACTTTGCTGGTGAGATCATTGATCATTGGATTGGCGGCACTGTTATTCGGTCATGTTGTCAGCTCTCTTATCAACATGCACATGAGATTATAAATGGTTCTTCTGATTTGCAAAGATTTATTGCCTCTGAAGATGGGTGGCCTGAACTACATGGGAAATTTGAGTGGAAAGATGTTATTGAAGCAGTGAGAGGTCTTCATGGAATCTCTAAGAAGCTGAGAGAAAAGAGGTTTGAAAGAGGGGCTCTGTTGCTTGATAGCTCCAAGCTTGGTTTCTTGTTCGATGATGATGGAATACCCTATGATAGTACTTTTAGCGAGCGTAAAGATTCTAGTTTTCTTGTGGAGGAATTCATGCTCTTGGCAAATATGACTACTGCAAGTGTTATTTCTAGGGCATTTCCTGAATGTGCCCTTTTGCGTAGGCATCCAGAACCAAACTCGAGGAAACTGAAAGAGTTTGAAGCTTTTTGTGGTAAACATGGATTTGAGTTGGATACTTCTTCATCTGGTCATATTCATTTGTCTTTGCAAAAGTTAAAGGAAGTGCTAAAGGATGATCCTGATTTATTTGAGATTCTCATTTCAAATGCTTCCAAGCCAATGCAACTAGCTCAATACTTCTGTACAGGAGATTTAAGAGATAGGGAAAGTGAGTGGGCTCACTATTCTTTGGCAGTCCCTCTCTATACCCATTTTACATCACCATTGAGAAGATACCCGGATATTATAGTGCACCGTACATTGACTGCTGTACTGGAAGCCGAACGGATATATCTCAGGCAACAGAGACCTGTTCCCAAAGCAATTAAGGGGGGCCCTGCAGATGAGCATGAAATGGTCAGGAGAGTTTTTTCGGGTCTGAATTTTGACGAGGATGCTGCGAAATCTAAGGAAGGTCGGGATGCACTTTCAGCTGCTGCTTTGAAGCATAAAGCTCCTACTTGTGCAGAACTTGTAGGAGTTGCTGCTCATTGCAACGAGAGGAAGCTGGCCAGTAAGCATGCTCAGGAAGCTGGCACTAAGCTGTATCTTTGGGTGCTTCTCAAGAAGAAGCAGGTTCATCTTTGCCTTTTACCTTATTCTTGTTATCTTTTCTATAAGAATTACATTGCGTAATATTGTTTTTCTTTTGTTTTGCTGAGCTCTTGATGGCTTTTTGTATTCCTTTGTCTGAACTTTCTTCTTTTTTCCTGGTGATCATGGGCTTGGTATGAGCTTGAGAGGTTATGACATCTAATTGTGGACAATTTCATGCTAGTACATAGACTTTTCAATCCATGGAACTTCCTATCATGCTGCCTGACCTTTTTTTGAAGGATGTTTCTGTGGATGGTACTTCCTATCATATTGCCTTGCCTTTTTTCTTGCAGATGTTTGTGGTTTAGTATTGGGAACTCGAATACTATGCATTTGTTTTTATGCCTCTTGCTTCTCATTTGTTTTCAATGAATCTATTATCTTTTATCTGGTAAGAGTAAATTTTACATTTTTTTAATGTCTGTGTTTGTCCTTACTGTTGGTGCACTTGTGTAAGTCATTCCTTTGTTAGGGCTGGAAAAACGGAAGAATCCGAAGGAAAAGAATGTGATTACATTTGGGATATCTGAATAGTATTTTTTTTAAGGGAAAATTTCATATAGGCCCCTAATTCTTCATGTTATTTCATGGTAGATCCTCCTTCTGTTTTTATTTCAAGCAGCATAAAGAAATCTTTAAGGATTTCACCGTACCCCCTCATCTCTTATTTCCTTCTTTTATAATGGGTGAAAAGGGAAAAATATAGTTAAAAAGTTTTTAGGTTGAAATGGTATAAAAAGATTTGTTGGGGTTAATTTTTATAGTCAAAAGTCAATAAAAGAGGGAGATAAGAGATGAGGGGTTACGATGAAATATTTAACGGTTTCTTATCCTGCTTGAAATTAAAACAGGAGGAGCCATGAAATAATATGAGGAATTAGGGTCTATACGAAATTTTCCGTTTTTTGAACTTAACTACCTTTACTGAAGATGTCCGTCTCTGTTTTCCTGTCTCATATGATGTGCTGAAACATAATTGCATTACTATATATGGTTCAAGAACCTTTATGATGTTTGTAATCCTCCTAGAGTGGGTTTAGTGAGCCCACCTAATGACATTAAGTCATCTACATGATCAATAAAATTTTTCTTTAGAGAAACTATGTGAACACTCTCGAGACTGGCTAAAGGAACCACATCTTTCTAGTTTGTTGGCTTTCCCTATTTTAAATGGTCCATAGAAGGCTTTCCCTATTTTAATTGGTCCATAGAAGCTAACATGACTCCAAAAGTGTCCTTCAATGTTCCCCACTCTATAAGGATAGGGCATAGTTTCAAAAAAGCAGTCCCCCTAGTGCCTAGGCGGGCTAGGGGGACCTGGGCACATTGCCAAAGCTTGGGCAGACCAACTAGGAGGGGGCGTATGCATAGGGACCCTAGGCTTAGTTTGGTGGGCGCAGGGACTGCTCTTGCCTTGGTGAAAAAATACTCTTTGGGTGTGACTTTTTGGTTTTTTTTTTGTTTGGATCATAAAAAATGCATGAATATGCATTTTTTTGTTCATGCATTTTTTATACAAAGTCTGGACCTAAAATAGGATCCTGGACTGCCCTTGCTCCCTTTTGAACCTAGGCCACCTAGATCCCTTGGTGCCTGTCGAGGCGCTAAGCGGCCTAGACCCCCCCGGCCGCCTAGGGGCTGCCTGACCTTTTTTGAAACATTGGGATAGGGTCATCCTAGATCATTGAAGGAAAAATCGGGCGGTCTAATCGGTAACTGCCAGGTTCAATCGAAACCGGCCACTAGCTGGTTCTGGTTTCGTTAGATTTTGGTGACCGCCTGGGTATTTTTAAATTTTTTAAGAATTATATAAATTGTCAAAAAAGAAGAAATTTTGTTTGTATTTTTAATTTTTTTTATCATTATGGCAAAGATTAGAAATTGTTTTGCCCATTAATATTTATTTTTAATTTTCCCATTTTTTTGGAAAGTTTCAAGAATACCCTTGGGCACAAATGGATTCTTTAAAATCCATTTCTTTCATTAATTTGCAACTTGGATTCTTTAAAATCATTTCTTTCATTAATTTTCAACTTCATTTGGATGTGTTTTGTTTAATCATTCTTTAAATATGCTTTTCATGTTTTTATTAGATTTTTTTTTTTTTAACACTTTTTTGACCGCCCAAGACTTGCCTAGTTAGAACAGTTGAACCGGTTGATTTATCGGTTAGGCCTGTTGAACCGCTTCTGGGTTCATGTCCGGTTAACCGTTTCGGTTCGATATTTCCTACACTGTCCTAGATTGCTATTGAGCTCCAACTATACTTTTTTGGGGGCAGGAGTAGGAGCTTGTGATTGACCCTATAGCTAAAGCTTCCCCACTTTGGAGTGCCTAGAAATGCTGTTCATAGAGCGGCTTGGGAGTAGCCTGATATATGTGGGTTATATAAATGGTTGTACCCCTTGTAATACATGCATACGTACATGCATAAATAAACACACACAGACACACCATAGATGTATGTATGTAGTATGTATGGAAATATGTCTTTGAGCCCTCTCGCATGTATAGGCCTAATCGCTTAGATTCAACCTCCCAGATATGGATTCTGATGTGTATGCACATTTTTAAATTTTATTTTATTTTTTCTGCAAATCCTTTTAACTTGAAATTTTGGGGAGTGCTGGCTGTCGTTCACTCTAGGCTATCAGGCTCACAAGAGTCCATAGAACCCACCTACTCCCCCTGCAGTGGTGCCCCCCATGGCTCACAAAATCATTCACACACGCATACACATATATGTTATTTTATTTTTAAAGTAATATTAAAAAAAAAAATGTATGATTCACATTTTTAGCATTATGTATTTTTTTTTGGAAACTGTTAACATTCTAGCATTTCATACTCACTTGCGTAATGAAACTTCTATAACTTGATAATCATGTAAAAAAATTAAGAAAAATGAGATTGTCAGGCCGTGATATGAACTATACTTAGGAATCGCCCAAGTCCTTATAATAAACTCAGTTGGATTGGCAGTTTACCGTAGTGAACTGCCCTGTTCTGGACAACCTAGACGACTCCCCAATTTGGTACTAGGTTACCCCTCGGGTTTGAGCCAACTCAGGAAATTATCATGTTGGCTCACCAATTTTCAATTGTTGATGCAAATCATGATGATGAAAATGGAGAAAAAAATTGTCGATAGGTGGTCGTTAGTGAGAAAATCATCAGGAAGCAAAATTACAACATGAAATTAAACATACTAGTTTCAACATTCAAAACCATTTCTAACTCATGGGATTTTGATACCTTACAACTAGGATTGTGCCCCTATTTCTAGTAGGGTCGCATTCCCCTTCCATAGGGATTGAGATCCTTTTAGTCAGGAATCGAGATCCTTTTATTTTTATTTTTTGGCTTCAGTTGGAGATATGATGAGGGAAAGTAGACTTAATTGGGCTGGCCATGTGCAACGTAGACCCAATATAACAACGGTTAGGAGGTGTGATTTAGTTCAAGTGGAAGCTCTAAAAGGGTAATGGAAGGCCCAAACAGACATGAATAGAAGTAGTGAGAAAGGATGTGGGGACTTATGGTCTTACTGAGTGTATAGGCCTTGATCGAGCAGAATGATTGAGCGGGAATGGGGACATGAGCTTATCTCAGGCTCGGTCTCGGGCTTGGGCTCGGGCTCGGGCTCGGGGATATCTGGAGCAAGATTTCAAAAGGGGGTTGCTACCCCTCAATCTAGCTCCTTGCACTATGGTCCTAGCAAAGAATGGATCGTGATTCTAGGTTTACATCATGCAATGCTTCAATCCGTGAATTACTTGCCTATCTTGTGCTGTGAAATTCTCTCAAATCAAAAGGTGAAATAATTGCATTGCAAATCTAAATATTTAAATCATCTTCACTAGTGAAAAGTCCTCTACAAATTTGTAACTTCTTTTTAAATACCTGAGGAATATCCAATGTGCTCTACTTCTGTAACACTGGGCTGTTGGCCCTTTTGCTGAAAAGGAACCAGAGACTGGTAACCAAGAAGCATTGAGATTCAGTCATTACCATCATGGTCATAACCCAAGAAACACCAAAACAGATCAAGAAGAGGTTCAAACTGCCTCACGAACAAGTGAATTAGAAAAATGCGATCCATAAATACTTCCTTCCCTACATAAGATATATGCTCAAGAAACTACAATGTTGTGGATGGTCTGTCTTATTTGAGAAAGTCTACTAATTGATCTCTAAATTCCTAAGATCCTTTCTAAACTTAGTATAAATTTTTCTTAATTGTTTTTCTTTTTAAAATACTTTTTTGGCTTTGGTTTTGATACCAAACAGACCTCTTTTGTTTTTCTATAGTTTCAGATGCTAAGCGTGCTTTTGTGCATACATACATGAACTTTAAACTTGAGTTTTGGAATCTAGAAGATTGAAACTTGCGCAAGCTTGAAAGTTGAACTTGAAATAAAAATCATTTAAGTCCTATGACATTGTGAAAATGGCCACAGGCTGTCCTTGTGGGATATTACAAACCATTACAAACCAAGATAAGTCATATCTTGCATCTGATGCCAAGCCTTTGTCAATAGAATCACCCCCCTCCTCGACATGGTGCTCTTCCTCTGCTATCTCTTCTAAGCCAGCCTCCTCCTTTTTCTTTATTGTCTTCATGCACTTAAATAGCTAGTGGTCCGAATGTGGGTTTTAGGGGTTTAAGTATACCCTAAAATTGGGTCTTGGGGTTTTCGTATGCCTAAAAAACACTTTTCTCCCACTTTTAAGGGGCAAAAATGACAAATTTTGCTCCTTTGGCCCATTTCTTTCCTATTGGGTGCTCACCTTGGTGCTTAGGCCACTTCGGAGGCCTGCCTCAGGTGACCCGCCTTTCTTAGGCAGGCTTGCAGTGCTTCATTGTGGGCTTTTTTTTTTCGTTTTTTTGTATTTTTTTGTTTTTAGTAAATTATGTAAAACCTACATGTTTCAGAGAACAAACTCTGTTGGCATTGCACATTAACTCCAAATCTGACCATTCTGTCACTTAAATCCTAACCCTCACACCTTATCCCACTACAGAGATACCCTTTCCGCATAGTTGACACCATAAACCTGACCAAATCCCATGTCCCTCCCCTCTCTATATGGCAACTATTAATTAAGCACATAGCTCTGGCAGATTGACCTCCACATGCTACCCCAAGATCTGCTGCAATTTTTCAGGAAAATATTCTTAGTTAACTGTAACTGCCCGATTCCTCTAGACTACTCAAACCTTGGGATTGTATGCTACACATTTATAGATGAAACCTGCATTCTGCCCTCCGCAAAGGATGAGAAATAAACTAGAATACCGTCTAGAGCAGCTTGTTGACAATAATTAAGATACATCCAAACGCTAAAAATTGAAACTTCTAAAAATTTGATTTCTTTCTCATATTTCTAGTTGCTATCTATATTTGTTTGTTGTGTTATGAGCCTGGAACACCATTAGGAAACTGTTTTGCCTATTTTTGGCTATAAGTTGCGCCTAATTCACTTCCGCGAGATGGATCTGGACCCTAGTTACATCTGACAATGTTTGGGTGTATTTTGGATCAATTTGATTCACAAACAACCCAAAGTGTCATCAAACCAAGGCATTGAACTGGACACAAGTGGCTACATTTATTTTGAAACAAGGGTACAAATCCTAGGTATGGACATCCAGGTTCTCTTTCATCCCAACAAGCCTCAAAAGGCAGGTATACTGGAGAGGAGCTGAAACATTGGTGGTCCACCACCTTCAAAACTCGATTGCCATCCAAGCTAGCAGTCATCACCTGATATAGACCGGACTGTCAAATCTATGCAAAAGGGTCACCAAAAATCAAAAGGTTTATGGCCCAACAATGAGACAAGGAGCCGCTCAAAGCCTCCACTGAAGGGCTCAAAACACAGTGGAAATAGGTGGAAGTTTAATTAAGGGTTATTCCAAACCTACCATCCAAGTTTCAGGTCATTCGGTCATAAATTGCGCCCATTGTTAAGGTCTTAAAATCAAAGGTCACAATCCTAGCTGATAGAGGTACTGTCATACATACAGTTCGTCGAAAAGGGGTCTAGTTAACAAAGCAATGATAAGAAATGGTCTCTTATAGAGTTGAAACTTAAGAGTTTAATCTAAGCCATTCGAAGCTCATTCCCCAAATTTGAGATCATTTGGATGTCGGTTGGCCCACTTTTTGAAGACAAAAATATTAAATTCACGTTTTCCACTGCTGGTGTGATGGTTGATGAGAAGGGTTTGCTTCCTACACCATTCTTTTAAAATGGCGCATCACTCTGAGCTGCATATGCAAAAAAAATGTGATGCGCCAGTATTTGCGGCTTCATCGAATACATCGCCTTCATTGGCTGCATTCCTGCATTGAAATTTCTTTGGGTTGTTTGGTAAGATGTTCCTACTCTTTTTTCTTGGCAGAGTTGGGGTTGGTGGGGGGGGGGGGGGGGTAGTTGGGGGATGTCTTCTGCATCTTCAAGTAACAAGAATCTGGCATGGAAATATGTAAACTAAAAACCTTAAGGATTGAAATTATGTGAGAGGGTAATTTCCTGTGAAAGGAACACCTAGCTGTTATTACTGGAAATGTTAAAGCATGCACACAATCAACCTTTTAGACTGGAAGAGAGATTAGGGCATACATAGAGAGCCAAGAAAAAGGAAAAGAAAAGAGAAAAAATGAGACCGAAGGAATTGATAGAAGAAGTTAAAGTATTCGATGACTTGTCTGAATGAGAGTTGAGAGTTGATTATCTTTTTCTTTTATATGTCATAAATTTTTCGTCTTTGTCCCGTGTGAGTTTAAATTTTAGATTTTGGATAATTTATATGATATGGAATGGATTGCTTTTTTATGTGGTAATTAGAAGTTAGAACAAACTCTATACTCTTTATCAGCCTACCAGGGGACTGAAAGTCTTAGACAACTATTATAAAATTATGGAATGGATTACTTTTTTATGTGTTAATTAGAAGTTAGAACAAACTCGATACTCTTTATCAGCCTACCAGGGGACTGAAAGTCTTAGACAACTATTATATATATTGAATAAGTTAAAATACCTAATATCACATAAATCACATTTATGTTTTTTTATGCATTATTATAATTTTTGTATTTTATATATATATTTTAAAATCATTGACCATATTTGAGGTGATGTGCCCACATCGGGACAACATCGTAGCCTGACTGCATTGGTCCTGCATCCCACATTTGAAAACACTGCCCTGCACGACGGCTGCATTCATCCTCGACACTTCTTTCTTCAAATCCCAAATGATACGGTGGTTTGAGCACAAATTTGGGGAGAATGATCCTCTTTCACTACCCTACAAGTTCATATAAATATTGAAGGGGTTTATGCCAAGATTGGGGATCGAATCAAATATCAAATTAAGGATTGTAATAGGGCTGCTGCCTGGATTAGACGGGGTGATTATTGAGGCGTGTTTCTTCAATATCTCCCTCTTCCTTGGGTCGTTTTTTTTTTAATGAAACGTGAGCGAAAATGATATTGATTTAATGCCCTTCAAATCAATCTAGGGGTTTAAATGAATTTTCAGGACTTAGGATCGCAAATTTAGGGTCACTGGAAGTAGTGCTGCACACAGTCGAAAACTGAGAAAGAACACTTAATTGATTTGAATGACACAAAATATAGGTATTTTTCAATGGGGTTTGAAACATGTGATACTCAACTCAATTCCCGACAAGTCTATGGAAAGAAATCCGGCCAAAAACCATATCAAAATGGGCCAAATAAGCTTGAAAAGATTCAAAGCTGAATTGACAGTGAAAGAGGCTTTAATTTTCTTGGGGCATAGCTTGGAAATTTTAGCCCAAAGTGTGTAACTAACTTGCCCCCTCAAAAAAGTTGCTAATTTTACCCCCAAAAGTTATAAATACCTCATGCCTAGGCCATTTGAGGTTGTCTCTGGAGGTGATTCTTCTGAGATTAGTCCCTTGTCTTGAATGTCTTGGAGCATTCTAGGCTCTGCGTGTGTGTGTGTGTGAGAGAGAGAGAGAGAGAGAGAGAGAGAGAGAGAGAGAGGC